TGTTAGACACCACTTCCATGAACTGAGGGAGCATTTCTGAGGCTGGGGCATTTCCACTTTTATACCTATGTTTTTAATAAAAAAATGTAAACAAAGAGACATTCAGGGGTTGTGTCTGATGATTTTCAGTGACTGAAATAAAAAAAGTTCAGTAAACTGGGGCCGCACATGAAAAAAGTGGCACTACTATAATGAGCATGCAGCCTCACAGCAATTTCATAGCCAATATGTGCACGTTTCTACAGGTTTTGTTCTGTTCACGACGCAGTGGGTAGGATGGGAAACTCAATGGTGTGAAAACATGACTGGACACTCCTAAGTGTTATAGTGTGAAGTAACATTTCCTGCTTTGCAGCCATGTTGAACCAAAAGAGAGTTTTTGGTGTTGGAGGATCTGTTGGTCGCTCAGTGATTGCTGGACATGGGCACCGGCGACCCCGTGACCCAAAATGGAAGAAGTGGGTAAAAGATAATGGATGGATGGAAATGTTGGTTGAGTTTTAGTCTGTCAGTTCAAGCTGTTCATTGCTTGGTCCCTCATTTTGTGAAGACAGCCTGCTTTTAAAGTATTTACAAAAATTCTTCTCTCTTGATGATGTTAGCTCTACTCTAAAATGTTTGTAGCTTTTTTCTGTTTCAGTCTCAGTGGATACATAAATCCTTAGATAAACTCTGTAGCATTTACGAAGTGAGACGGAGGAAGAAGGGTGACACGTTGTCCACTCCCCTCCACTACATTTGTTTCTATTTATTTAGCATTCGTTAAAGTGGGACACCAGCTGGTCAGTTTGTTGACCAACAACAGCTTAATATATTCAGCCTTTAATGATAAGAATCAGTCACTGAAGTAGAATCTGTTCATTACAGGGAGTTCTATACCAGAACATATTAATATTCATCTGAATGAAGAGACCAATGTTGTCTTTGAAGTTTTATTACAAAAATAATTAAACTGAGTCAACAACAACAATAAACAAACAATAATAATGAATCAATCAAGGCTTAATTCTCTTATCTTAGGTAAAATTAAGTCTTTGAGTAGGAATTATTTAGGGATTTATACGTGCACTGAGACAACTTCTGTTCTGACTTGGCACTATATATGTGCCAAGATTATGTGTATATATATATATATATATA